ATTTGCATTTATGACTGATTCTTTGATGACTATGGCTACGTTCACACTGCAGGGCTTAATGCTCAATTCCGATTTTTTGAAAACATTCGATTTTTTTGCAAGGCCGTTCACATTTCCAATTAAATGCGACCTTTTGTGATCTCCTGTGTGAACGTGAAATGACCCAGAAGTGACCCGCATGCGCAGAAGAGTAATCAACGGTCAACGACGTCACTTGTTGTTTGCGGAATAGTTTTTTTTTTTTTCCATATTGTTGCGAGCTTTTGTTTTATTATTATTATTGCCACAGCCCATAACACAGACAACAATTATTTTCTCGACGGGCAAAGTTTGCACATAAATGTACGATTTTTCCGATCCTCACCGTCACCGACCTCGTCATAAAACCCGTTTAATTGATAGTGCGCGTCCTTGGCGCTCGTTGCTTTGTGGCCGCGGTGCGACACTGGTGGCTGGTGTTGCCAGATTGGGTGTTTTTTCGCTACTTTTTAATGGCATGTTTACATGTGTTTTAGCCAGGAGGGCTCTATAGAAATCTGGCACCCTACTGTACGAAGTTAAACTGACAGAGAGCGCACGTTCACAGACACCAGAATGAACGTGTTCACAGTAATGTTCATGAGGCAGTTATACAGTATGTTTATTTTAACTGTCACGTTCGCCCAAAATATGAACGCGTTCATGCACTATTGTTCATTGAACGCGTTCAAGCACAACACTGGGGAAGAGACTCGTCTGCAGCGGCACATAACAGAGCAGAAACGAGTTGGAGTTAGCGTGCATTGGCTAGCTACAGGTGCGTGCAATGACGTGCGGGTCGGATATATGTGACCTGACCGTTCAGATTGAAGTCGCATTTCAAAAGTTTGGATACATATCGGATTTGGACCACATACCCAAGTGGCCTGGGTCGCATTTGAAAAGATCGGATCTGTGTCGTTCAGACTGTCATGAAAAAATCAGATCAGGGCGGAATTAGGTCGTTTCAGCCTGCAGTGTGAGCGTAGCCTATGTTTGACGTTTATTTTGCCCGCTGGGTTATTTCTCATTGATAAAGCCCTTTCTTCTAGTTGTACCTCAGCTTCATGTGGAGTCATCACATCAGTGAGGTGTTTGTTGACTGACATCTGGGGGAAAAAAGCTTTATTCCAGCGATTTAGCAAAAAAGAAGCACGTATCATTATCATGTACATTCAAACATGGTTTTCCTTATGCCGTTTTAGGGGTTTAACAGACTGCCTGTCATTGATTTTTGAGCAGTTCAGCATGTCAACATCTGGCTCAGATTGGGCTGTCAATGGCGATTCATGTATGCTAAATGCTAAATGTTTGGTGTAGCATTCGCTGCAGGGTTTTTATATGTTTGAATCTGGCTGAAATCGTACCAGTTTTTATATTCCTTAGGACCAAACAAAAATCTATTTAGTATAATGTGAACTGATGAATTGTGCACATTAAGAGCAGGAAAATGTGTTCAAGTAAATGTGCTGTTTTTCCTGAAATGGGAAAGACACAAATGTAATGAAATTAACATTATAAATGAGGTGAGAAATGAAACAATTGGCTCATTTTTCCATTGTCACCTGCTCATTGCTGATATTAGTGTTTAAGGATGCTGATAGAGAAACCCAGACAGAAATCAGACGCTCCCATTCTTCATGCAGAAAATACTGCGCACTCAGCAGTCTGCACACACACACACACACACACACATGCACACAGGCCCTTTGACTGTTAAACTGGCTTCCAGTGATTGATCAGCTCTATAGTGTTGCTGATTCCCATCATTAGCTGGCTTTATTACCCTGTCGGTCATCTCACCTACAACCCGCTTCACACACACATAAACACACAACCCTGCTTTACAAAACACTTCTGCCTTTATTCTCATCAGGAAACGATGTTATTCCATCCCACATCCCATTTACCCAGAAACGTTCAGTCATTCACCGACTGACAGTTTCATTACATGTTAAAGCTGAACTGGTTTGGTTTATTCCTCTCGGTTGAATATATTTCAGGGGTGTTCATGTTTTCTTATAATCTGCCTTTCGCATTGTGTAGCACCTTTTTATTTTTCTTAAAGTTCATATATATATATTTTTTCCTCAGACCTTGTAAAGCTTCTCACACAGAACATTGTTCTTCTGCCCTGTGTTTAAGATGTGTGTGAGAGAAACAGAGAGAGAGAGAGAGACTGGGGGAAGGGGGATGATTGGGTTCTCTCGGTCTCTGGAAGCTCGGGGTTCATCAGCAGGGAGGGTGTAATGCTCATTTATTTGTGTTTGGGCTGATTATAGATGCCGTTGTTGGATCAAGGGTTAAATGTCACCAACGAACATTTGTAGAAAACATGCAAGACAATAAAATACTACAGTAAACATTCGTTTAACAACATAAGATGTAACATAAAACCCTGATGTATGATTAGAAAAAAGGAAGAAATCAATGAAAAAGCATTCTGGGAATGCACTATTAATAAGATGACTTGTTCTTTATCTTCTTTTTTTTTAAACTGTACATTCAGGTTTACAGCAAAATTGCATGAAATGTCCCATTTACTGTTAACCAATTAAATTTTTTTTTACTATAGCGTTTTTACAGACCTTTCCACTAAAATTATGATCATGAGTTAAGCCGTGTGTGCTGATAGATTTCAAAGTAATGAGCATAAAAATAAATTCAAAATAAATGAATCTTAAACATGCATTTCTTCATTACTAAATTAATCTGAATAAAATATGGATTAGCAGCATTTCTTACAGTATATGGCTGTCTGAAATACTGGCCAGTTGTGGTATCACCCAGTCTTTACCCAGTCATTGCCCAGTCTTTGCCCAGTGTTTACCCAGTCTTTGCCCAGTCTTTGCCCAGTGTTTACCCAGTCTTTGCCCAGTCTTTGCCCAGTCTTTACCCAGTCATTGCCCAGTCTTTGCCCAGTCTTTACCCAGTCATTGCCCAGTCTTTGCCCAGTGTTTACCCAGTCTTTGCCCAGTGTTTACCCAGTCTTTGCCCAGTCATTGCACAGTGTTTACCCAGTCATTGCCCAGTCTTTGCCCAGTGTTTACCCAGTCTTTGCCCAGTCTTTGCCCAGTCTTTACCCAGTCATTGCCCAGTCTTTGCCCAGTCTTTACCCAGTCATTGCCCAGTCTTTGCCCAGTCATTGCCCAGTCTTTGCCCAGTGTTTACCCAGTCTTTGCCCAGTCTTTGCCCAGTCTTTACCCAGTCATTGCCCAGTCTTTGCCCAGTCTTTGCCCAGTCTTTACCCAGTCATTGCCCAGTCTTTGCCCAGTCATTGCCCAGTGTTTGCCCAGTCTTTGCCCAGTCATTGCACAGTGTTTACCCAGTCATTGCCCAATCATTGCCCATTCTTTGCCCAGTCATTGCCCAGTCTTTGCTCTGTCATTGTCCAGTCTTTGCTCTGTCATTGCCCAGTCTTTGCTCTGTCATTGCCCAGTCTTTGCTCAGTCATTGCCCAGTCTTTGCCCAGTCATTGCACAGTGTTTACCCAGTCATTGCCCAGTCATTGCCCAGTCATTGCCCAGTCATTGCCCAATCATTGCCCAGTCTTTGCCCAGTCATTGCCCAGTCATTGCCCAGTCTTTACCCAGTCATTGCCCAGTCTTTGCCCAGTCTTTACCCAGTCATTGCCCAGTCTTTGCCCAGTCTTTACCCAGTCATTGCCCAGTCTTTGCCCAGTCATTGCCCAGTGTTTGCCCAGTGTTTGCCCAGTCTTTGCTCTGTCTTTGCCCAGTCATTTCCCAGTCATTGCCCAGTCTTTGCCCAGTGTTTACCCAGTCTTTGCCCAGTCTTTGCCCAGTCTTTACCCAGTCATTGCCCAATCTTTTCCCAGTCATTGCCCAGTGTTTACCCAGTCATTGCCCAGTCTTTACCCAGTCTTTGCCCAGTCATTGCCCAGTCATTGCCCAGTGTTTGCCCAGTCTTTGCCCAGTCATTGCCCAGTGTTTACCCAGTCATTGCCCAGTCTTTACCCAGTCTTTGCCCAGTCATTGCCCAGTCATTGCCCAGTCATTGCCCAGTGTTTGCCCAGTCTTTGCCCAGTCATTGCCCAGTGTTTACCCAGTCATTGCCCAGTCTTTACCCAGTCTTTGCCCAGTCATTGCCCAGTCATTGCCCAGTCATTGCCCAGTGTTTGCCCAGTCTTTGCCCAGTCATTTCCCAGTCATTGCCCAGTCTTTGCCCAGTCTTTGCTCTGTCATTGCCCAGTCTTTGCCAAGTCTTTGCCCAGTCAGTTGTGGTATTCTGTCAAATATTGTTTGTGGGATGTTAAAATAATGTCTGTTTGGTAATGAGGTATTTCTGGTTGACAGTAATTCAGAGAAAATCAGTAAAATGACCCAGTCAGCCTCAGAATTGGACAGAAGGTCTTCACTGGCATGATGTTGCTGGTGTTTTCATAATTTTTATAAATTGTTCCTTGAATTAAACACACATTTCAAAGATCTCATAATAAACGCACAAGCCATCTGAGCAGAATTCACACTCTATTGCTATTATGACATCCCATTAAAAACAAATAAAGGCCTATATATAATTCATAGAATAAGATGAAGTTTTGACTGCAGTTTCTTTATTTGATTTTCCTGTGAATTATTCAATTAAATAGTCACAATGCATAAATTTACATAGAATATGGGATTTTGTATTTTAGATTCATGGCACCTTTTCCATAGACATAAATTATTAAAAATGATATCTGCTGTATTTTACATATTCTGCGAAAGAGGCTGGGATGAGTTTACTCTAGAGGGCTTTTGCCCCCTGGACGGGGGTCAACTTGCCCCAGTAGTGGAGCGAGATGCCCCTGTTTATGTGCACATCTTCCCTATATACCTTGATATTTCAAATGATGGAAATCTCTTAATAAACTCTTATAATACTTAAGACTGTACTGTTCTCCAAGTCTGTGTGTGTTGCTGAGTAATAGTGAAGTATTGTGATAACTTTTAGTAATGATATCTCTCTTATGACTTTTGCAGGTGGAGAATCGGCCCAAATATTACGGAAGAGAGTGAGTTTCATTACACGCATTACTGAACCAGTTTAGATTCTACTGTACATGAATCCACAGTTGATCGATATCCTATTTAAAGGTACAGTAAGAGATTTCTGAGAAACGCTGTCGACAGTGGATCAGAACGAGAAGCACAACACTCTTGTAGCATATCAGCACTGGGGGGCGTGTCCGCGTGCGATGGTGGAGGAGAGAGAGTGCCAATCAGCAGTAGGGGGCATGTCCACTCATGATGGGGTAGGAGAGATTCCGCCAATTAGCAGTAGGGGGCGTGCCCATCCGTGTTGGGAGGAATGAGAGAGCCAATCAGCAGTAAGGGGTGTGTCCACTCATGATGGGGAGGAGAGATTGAGCCAGTTAGCAGTAGGGGGCTTGTCCACTCGTGATGGGAGAGGAGTCAGCCAATCAGCAGCAAGGGCGTGTCCACTCATGATGGGGGAGAGAGTGAGCCAATCAGCAATAATGGGTGTGTCCACTCGTGGAGGGGGAGAAGATAGAGATCAAGAGGGAGAATTGAAGAAAGATTGTTGAAAGAGAGATGGCTGAGAGAGTTCAATAGAAATTGATTTGAAAATACATTTTTGTAACGTTTACTGTCACTTGTTATCAACTTAATTCATCCTTGCTAAATAAAATATGAATTCATAAAACTTTTGAACAGTAGTGTATTTTTCCTATTTAAAAGCAAATTTGGTTTGAGCTCTAATGTGCTATTTTATTAATCTTCCCTGTTTGGTTTGCTGTGAAGGTATCATGGGATGATCTCCAGAGAGGAAGCTGACCAACTACTCAGTGTGGCTGAAGGAAGTTATCTGATCCGAGAGAGCCAGAGACAGCCGGGAACATACACTTTAGCTCTGCGGTACGCCAACCTTCAACTTTGACCTTTGACCCAACCATCTCGAACCTAGATCTTCTCTCTTTCTCCAGTCTAGCTCACGTGTCTTTGCCCAGTCTTTGCCCATGTGCGTTTGTCTTATTTTAGCTCTGGCTGATGTGTGATCAGTGTAGTTAAATCATCAGTCTTAATGTGTATTAGCTATTCACAGAACAAATTCACCTAGTTCACCCTAAAATTACAATTCTGTCATCATTTACTCGCCCTCATGTCGTTCCAAACCCGTAAGACCTTCGTTCATCTTCAGAACACAAATTAAGATATTTTTGATGATATCCGAGAGCTCTGTCCTTCCATAGAGATCCAATTCAACTTCCACTTTCAAGCCCCAGAATAATAGTAAAGACATCATTAAAGTAATCTGTTGAGACTCCAGTGGTTCAACCTTTTTTTTTTTTATAAAGCGACACTAGTGCTTTGTTTACACAAAAATGTACCCACCGATTTACCTGCTGTTCTTTCGAACTTTCTATCCATCAAAGAAACCTGAAAAAAGTATCACCGTTTCCACAGAAATATGAAGCAGCCCAACTGTTTTCAACATTGATAAGATTCATCATCATATTAGAGTGATTTCTGAAGGATCATGTGACACTGGAGTAATGATGGTGAAAATTCAGCTTTGATCACAGGAATAAATGACATTTTTCTGTATATTCTCATAGAAAAGTTATTTTATATTCTAATAATATTTCACAATATTACAGTTAGTATTTATAATCAAATAAATGCAGTCTTGGTGAGCAGAAGAGACTTCTTTCAAAAACATTACAAAATCACATTTTTGATTGGTATAGGTTAGGGTTTCAACAATAAAATCAATTATTATCGATAATGAAAATTATTGACAACTAATTTTATTATCAATGAGTCATGTCTGGGCGCTGTGCTTGGAAACCATCAGCCAGTCACGTCGCTTTACAGTAGTGAATAACCCATTTCTAAGGACATATTTTTTGTAATGTTTAGATTTTTGATCTGATTTAATTGATTAATCAAAAAAAAAAATCAACAGATTAATTGATTATCAAAATAATCGTTAGTTGCAGGCCTAGTATAGGTTATGTAAATGTAAGTGAGGAGTTAGAGGTCTTTTGTTGTTGTTGTGAGTGTGTAATTGTCAGTGGTGGAATGTAACGAAGTACAAATACTTCGTTACTTTACTTAAGTACATTTTTCACGAATCTTTACTTAAGTACAATAAATAGTGCCTACTTTTTACTTTTACTTCGTTACATTTTGCAGCAATTATTATACTTTCTACTCCACTACATTTCTACAACTTCTGTTACATTTTCGTTACATTTTCTGATCAGTTTTTCCCCTGCCAAAACGTAATCTGACCGTCCGTTCATTGCACGTTTGTCTCACCAGTGACGTTTGGTTGCCATAGATACAGTATATCAACCCGGTCACACTAAATGCGTCTCACACGCAGTGTGTTTATCGTGCAACTCATACGCGAAAATTTGTTTTTACGTGCATAGGAAACACACCGTGTGTAATATATGTTTGGTTTGGTTAGGATTATGGCAAGCCAAGAGGTTCAGAATTACACCATAAATTCATCTCGTTTACTGCCAAACATAGTTATTAACATATAGTAAGGATAAGCATGATATTGCCTAATTGCAAGCTTGTTTCAGAAATGGTGACATTTTTTTCCATCATTATTAAACATCATTATAGGAGTAGGCTATTAGGTTGAATGAGTTAGAATTAAATGTTTTATTAATCATTAGAAAATAGACATTAAGATAATAAATTGTCATGCAAGTACTTTTACTTTTAATACTTAAAGTACATTTAAAATAAAGTACTTTTTACTTAAGTATGGTGGTCATTGTGTTACTTCTACTTTTACTAAAGTAAATATTTATCTGGGTATTTGTACTTTTACTTAAGTACTGAGATTCAGTACTTCCTCCACCACTGCTAATTGTGTGTTTGTGTACAGGTTTGACGATACTTGTGAGGGCCAAATGTCCTCACTTATATAGTGAAATATCATACTATTACAAGTCTTTATTGGTTAAAAAAACGTATAAATCGTCCAAAACATTATTTTTTTAAACTAGTGTTTTGCAGATGTTTCTGTAATGGATAGGTCTAGGGGTTAAGTCGTTAACCTGATATTGAATCAGTGGAAGTCTTTGCAATGTCCTCCTCAAATATAGTAAAAAAAGTGTGTGTGTGCATGCGTGCCGCGCTAGACACAAAAAGTCTAGAGATAATCCCTTTAATCTGCTCACTTGAGCAGACGGACACACACTGCTACACGCTGCATGCGGGTGCTTTCCAGTCCAAACACACACACTCTCTCTCTCTCTCTCTCGCTCTTCCTCAGGCATGTGATTCCTCAGAGAAAGCATCTGTTGTGTCCTGTGCGCAAAAGCTTTAACATCAAAGAGCTCTGTTGCCATCAGGCTTTAATGACATGAGCCTTTGTGCATATGCTTGTGTGTGTGTGGTGCGTCTGTTTCCATGCGTGAGTCAAGAAGCCATACAAACCTCTAACTGTGTGTGTTTCTGATATGAACCTTGTTGTGAGTATCTGTAAGTGTTTCCAGATCCGGCTGTGTGCATCTGATTTTGGGCGTGTGTGTGTGTGTGTCTCTCTGTGGGAACTCAAACAGGAAGCTCATGCATTATAAAACCTCAGCTGTCCTGTCATTTCCAGTGGCTCATATCTCTGATCATGTTACAATCCATAGACTGTCAACCTGCAGTTTTCAAGTATTTAAACTAATAGGAAATTAGAAATATTATAAATTTGGATGAAAATGTTGATTTTGTTGTCTGATTAGCATACAGCATCTGAGATGTGTGTTTATTCCAGTCTCTTAAACTGGGCTGTTTTGGTTTTGAAGTGGATTATTCTCATGCGGTTGACATTGAAAATGATGCATGTGTTTCGGTTAAAGTCGTCAGTTAATTCCTTGATTGTCATTTTATGTGAGCCTAGCTGAGATGCTGAAAACGCTTATCATGTGCTGAATGCGTGTGAATGAGCACAGTAGCCGGCTAGCTGCGTTTCCTTTACATATTTGCGCAAATCGTTTGCGATATTTTCTAAATGTCGATAAAAACTATTGCGAAATGACATCATTTCCGTTACCCGATGTTATGAGACTAAAACGTACATTTTTCCTCTCATTAAAAGTCTATCCAAAAATCACCTCGAAATGCGATAAAACTTTGCAGTTTTGCTAAATATTAGGGCTGTCAAACGATTAATCGCGATTAATCGCATCCAAAATAAAAGTTTGTGTTTACATAATATATGTGGGTGCACTGTGTATATTTATTTTGTTTATAAATAAATACACACACATGCATGTATATATTTAAGAATTTTTTTTTAAATTTATATATAAAATATTATGTAAATTATATATAAATCTATATTCAGTATATAGATGAAATTATTTCTTAAATATATACAAGCATGTGTGTGTATTTTATATATGAAGAGTTCAGATGCAAAAGCCTCTAAATGCCATTTGAAATTTTCTTCTTTAATGATGATTTTTATCAAACTTGTATATTTAAGTTCAGTAATTTCACTTAAATAACAATTAATAGGTAAATATCTTTGCCATTTAAGTGAAATTACTGAACTTAAATATACAAGCTTGATAAAAATCATCATTAAAGAAGAAAATTTCAAATGGCACTTAGAGGCTTTTGCATCTGAACTCTTCATATATAAAATAATTATACACAGTGCACCCACATATATTATTTAAACACAAACTTTTATTTTGGATGCGATTAATCGCGATTAATCGTTTGACAGCCCTACTAAATATTTTTCGAATTGCCTGAAAAACTAGGTTTGTTGTTTGTTTTAAAGTCTATAGATACGTTTTAGGTTAAAATACAACAAAATACAACACTTAAATTAGACATTTAAGTGTGTGTGTGTGTGTGTGTGTGTATAGAGTATCCGGTCTTTGTATTGATCAACATATGAGCTTTTCACCCTCATAACTACTACAAGTACAGGAAGCTGATACAACCATAGATGTTCAGTGTGTGTGTGTGTGTGTGTGTGTGTGTCCATGTTCATTCATCATTCCTCTCTGGATCTTCTCACAGCTGTGTGTTACAGCGCTCGGGTCCAACACACACTCATTTCCTCATTCTCTCTTTCAGCTTTGGGAATCAGACCCGAAACTTCCGTCTCTTTTACGATGGGAAGCATTTTGTGGGGGAGAAACGCTTCGAGTCGATCCACGACCTGGTGACGGACGGTCTGATCACGCTGTACATCGAGACCAAAGCAGCCGAGTACATATCTAAGATGACCATCAACCCCATCTACGAGCACGTGGGCTACACCACCCTGAACCGCGAGCCGGCGCTGAAGAAAGCGCTGCCCGTCTGCAGAGACATTCCCGACGGGAAAGACACACCCGGAGACGAGCTGGAGGAGAGGGTGAGCTTGCATTTACCCAGCATGCCTCTGTGTGTGTGTGTTTGTCTGTTCTTCTATAGACTACAGTCAACTGTGATGAGTTTTCATGAGTTTTGCTCTCAGGTGACCACAAGTGCCAACCATATGTGCTGCTAGGGTGAAGAGTTATAGCATTTATGAATATGAATTCTGGGGGAATTATGATCCCTCAGTGACACCTTGGTCTTGTGCACCTTGCTGCCTTCGAACGTAACTCTTAGTTTGCTTGTATTTTGTAAGACAAATTTACAAAATATGATTAATCGCATCCGAAATAAAAATAAAAACATCCAAAATGTATTTAAATACACAAACATGCATGTATATATTTCATAAAATGTGTTATTTATATATAAAATATTTATATGTAATAAAAATGATACAGTAAATTTTTTTTTTAAATATACATGCATGTGTGTGTGTATTTATACATACAAAATAATCATACACAGCACACACACATATACATTATGTAAATACAAACTTTTATTTTGGAAATGCGATTATGCCCATATATCACATTATATATTCCATATAAAAGTCCAGATCAGTGAGAAAAGCATATCCGGTAGGAAAATGTTGTGGTTTGTGGTTGTGCTCTGCTCTTTTTGACTTGATTTGGGGTTTTTTTTTTAACTAAACTTGATCTATATTTTATTATGCTGAAGGACAGCATCAATATTTCGTATTAGTCCAACTATAGTCAAGATAATCTCCCTGTTTTATATAACAGTCATCTACATTACAAATGATTAATCAATAGTAGTTAAATACACTAAATATTATATTTTAGATGTTATATGCTTAAGGCCTATTTAAAGTATGAGGGCAGGACAATTTATTAATAAATATTATTTAGCAAGGATGCATTAAATTGATCATTTGAAAGTGATAGTATGCACATTTATAATCTTACAAAAGGTATTTTCAGAAAAATGCTGGGGTTTTTCTTTTCTTTAAAGAATCCCATACAAAGGATCAAGGATCAAAGTTTCCTCAAACACAGTAATAAATTACATTTTTAAAATAGATTAAAATAAAAAATCAACATAAAAAAGCAACACTTCGAACGAAAAGCTGAGAACAAAAATTGTGTTTTTGTCATAGACTACAAAGTGCATAAGCAATGCTTTCATCGCTTGTTTCTGCTTCGCCTGTTTTGATCAGGAGATTCTGTACAAAAGAGAACGCTCTGTCAATGGCGGGGAAAGAGTTAAAAGTGAAAAGTTGCTGCCTAAATAAACTAAATTAAATATCTGTTGCACTGTATTACACTTCTGGGTTCATTGGTGAATCTGTTTTTATTCTAAGTTCTGATGAAAAATTTACGGAAGCCCTGAACCGCAACCTAAAAAAAAAAAAAAAGTCAGTTAAAAAAAAAAAATCTGTAAAAAAAAAAAAATCTAGCATTTCGAGATTAAAGTCGAAATGTTTCGAGATTAAAGTCGAAATGTTTCGAGATTAAAGTCGAAATGTTTCGAGATTAAAGTCGAAATGTTTCGAGATTAAAGTCGAAATGTTTCGAGATTAAAGTCGGAATGTTTCGAGATTAAAGTCGGAATGTTTCGAGATTAAAGTCGGAATGTTTCGAGATTAAAGTCGAAATGTTTCGAGATTAAAGTCGAAATGTTTCGAGATTAAAGTCGAAATGTTTCGAGATTAAAGTCGAAATGTTTCGAGATTAAAGTCGAAATGTTTCGAGATTAAAGTCGAAATGTTTCGAGATTAAAGTCGAAATGTTTCGAGATTAAAGTCGAAATGTTTCGAGATTAAAGTCGAAATGTTTCGAGATTAAAGTCGGAATGTTTCGAGATTAAAGTCGGAATGTTTCGAGATTAAAGTCGGAATGTTTCGAGATTAAAGTCGGAATGTTTCGAGATTAAAGTCGGAATGTTTCGAGATTAAAGTCGGAATGTTTCGAGATTAAAGTCGGAATGTTTCGATATTAAAGTCGGAATGTTTCGAGATTAAAGTCGAAATGTTTCGAGATTAAAGTCGAAATGTTTCGAGATTAAAGTCGGAATGTTTCGAGATTAAAGTCGGAATGTTTCGAGATTAAAGTCGGAATGTTTCGAGATTAAAGTCGGAATGTTTCGAGATTAAAGTCGGAATGTTTCGAGATTAAAGTCGAAATTTTTCGAGATTAAAGTCGAAATGTTTCGAGATTAAAGTCGAAATGTTTCGAGATTAAAGTCGGAATGTTTCGAGATTAAAGTCGAAATGTTTCGAGATTAAAGTCGGAATGTTTCGAGATTAAAGTCGGAATGTTTCGAGATTAAAGTCGAAATGTTTCGAGATTAAAGTCGAAATGTTTCGAGATTAAAGTCGGAATGTTTCGAGATTAAAGTCGGAATGTTTCGAGATTAAAGTCGGAATGTTTCGAGATTAAAGTCGGAATGTTTCGAGATTAAAGTCGAAATTTTTCGAGATTAAAGTCGAAATGTTTCGAGATTAAAGTCGAAATGTTTCGAGATTAAAGTCGGAATGTTTCGAGATTAAAGTCGAAATGTTTCGAGATTAAAGTCGGAATGTTTCGAGATTAAAGTCGGAATGTTTCGAGATTAAAGTCGAAATGTTTCGAGATTAAAGTCGAAATGTTTCGAGATTAAAGTCGGAATGTTTCGAGATTAAAGTCGGAATGTTTCGAGATTAAAGTCGGAATGTTTCGAGATTAAAGTCGGAATGTTTCGAGATTAAAGTCGAAATGTTTCGAGATTAAAGTCGAAATGTTTCGAGATTAAAGTCGGAATGTTTCGAGATTAAAGTCGAAATGTTTCGAGATTAAAGTCGGAATGTTTCGAGATTAAAGTCGGAATGTTTCGAGATTAAAGTCGGAATGTTTCGAGATTAAAGTCGAAACATTGTGCATCCATAACAGTGCGCGTCCACTGGCTCAGAGCGCGCGCGTGTGTGTGAAGTTGAACTGCCATGGATAAACTCAAAATAGTAGCTTTTTACTTTTATCTGAATTACTTATCTTACTTTATCGTTATAAAATATAATGCGCCGGAATAGACTTTAGCCTATAGGAAAACCAACACGGAAAACACTTTTCAGACTGGATGGAGAAATCCAGCTTTAGGAATGAATGAATGAATGAATGAATGAATGAATGAATGAATGAATGAATGAATAGGGCATTTATATAGCGCTTTCATATATGCCTACACTCAAAGTGCTTTACAATCATATCAGAGAATCTCTCCTCAACCATAAGGGGTTATTAAATCTGAGGAAATCACAGGATCCGGCCAAATGATTGGATACAGAATGATGCATTTAAAATGTATCCAGAGCGTATTTACGGTGAAGAGGGAGACCGAACAGTTACTGTTGTGGTCTCGACCCAGATAGTGTTGCCTAGACAAGCACGAAAACACCTCAGAAACACTGCCACTAGCACGTGTGACGTGTGTAGAATTTTGTTGAAAGCCCAGATAAAAGTAAAAAGCTACTTTTTTGTGTTTATCCATGGCAGTTCGACTTCACACACACACACGCGCGCACGCTCTGAGCCAGTAGACGCGCACTGTTATGGATGCACAATGTTTCGACTTTAATCTCGAAACATTTCGACTTCAATCTCGAAACATTTCGACTTTAATCTCGAAACATTCCGACTTTAATCTCGAAACATTCCGACTTTAATCTCGAAACATTCCGACTTTAATCTCGAAACATTTCGACTTTAATCTCGAAACATTTCGACTTTTTATCTCGAAATGCTAGATTTTTTTTTTTTTTTTTACTAATTTTTTTTTATTTTTTTTATAGGTTGCGGTTCAGGGCTTCCGTAAAAATTAGCCATCTGCATTAATTTTGCTATAAAATAAATAAAGATGAGGTTAATAGCATCACTTTTTTGTTGCTTGTCTGAATCTATGATCCTGAAATATTTCATTTTTAGGGAAATAAAAGAAAACAAGCCTGTGATTCTGTATGCGATGATGTTAATATGTAGCGGATATTTACCTTGTGTTACTTTTGATATTTGGTGTAGTTGATGTCATCAACAACATGAAGAGTGTTTGCTGTACTCGGATGAACTGTTGTCATGGCGACAGTGTCCATATAAAAGACAGAATGGCCAAAAGCAAAGTTATATCATAAAAATAAATCTGTACTTAAAGGAGAATTTGCGCTACCAGTTGGAGAACAATCACGAATCTTTCCGAAATATATGTGTGTGTGTGAATTGTCCTGCTGTACAGATGTGATTGATGTTGAGTTAATGAGCAGCTGACAGATGCACACAGTCAATGTATCTCCACATTAATTCATGCATGTAATCAGATAATCAGTGCTGATTTAAACGTGCAGTAATTACTCCTCGCCGAGGCTCAATCTGTTCACAAACAATGGCTGGAAAAGTCATTTTCAAGGGTATAAATATTATGATGAAATATGATTGTTTTCTGCGCAGTGTGTTTCGTGGCTCTGTCTGCTCAGTGTAAGCATATCCAGAGCCGGAAGGAGACACACACATCTGCAGTAGAGGGGCTGTGTTGCAGTGACACACACTGAGATCCTGTTCAGCAGCAACACAGTGACTTTGGTAATAATACGTCAGCTCAGTTCATCTGTTTGGATCTTTACTGAATCCTATTTTTACCCTCAAGTGTTGTCGGAGTAATCATAAGCTGAAACCGTTATCAGAGTATCAGCTGATGTCCTGCTTCCTCATGGGGCCTGTGGCGGTTCAGGCAGGAGAGATGCTGTGTCTGGGTTGCTTTAGGACTTTAAGAGTGTGTATCATGGACACTTGTGTTAGATGGGGTTATTCTGTTGGATGCACTTTCATACTAAGCAATTTTTCTATCCATTGTTGTCTTTGGAAGTCTCGTCTGCTATCAGTTTTAGGCTGAATTGTAACCGCTGTGTTTGAAGCAGTCATTGCATACATGTTTTTTTTGTTTGTTTTTACGCCAATGTACAGTGCATGTGACGAAATGTAATCATCGGCGTAGTGCACACAAACACAA